CGCCTCTGCGGCCTCGGTGGACCGACCTGCTGGAGGCCGACGTCAGGGGGCGCCCAGGAGCCGGGGCGACCCGGGCTCCCTCCTCCCTGAGCCCGCCCGGAGGCCGGGGCTCGGAGGATGCGGCAGGGTGAGCTGTTTGGTTCGGGGGCGGGGGGCAGTCCCTGCGCGCGGAGGCGCCGGCACCTCCAGGGCCGTCTCCCAGCCGGAGCCCTGTGGCAGCGCCCGGGGCGGGCGCACGGGGGCCCGCGGTGCCGCCCCCAGACTTGGTGCTGATTCTCAGCCCAGACGTGAGCTCTCAGGTCCTCCACCCCCGGCGCCGGCCCTGCGACCCTGGTTCATTTTACTGGGTCTGTCTGGAGAGGTGATTTTGGGGTGTGAGGATCCGAGCGCAGAAGGAAGCCGATGATTGATTGGCCCCTAAATACTGCGGGAGAAAATGTCTAGGCGCCGTCCGCCCACGGGGATCCGTCACGCCTGGACACGCACTCGCCCGTCAGACCTTTGCCGCTCCCCGGCCCCTACCGTTCCGTTAGAATCCGCGAAACTGCGTACCGCGGCTGTCTGTGGGACACCTGACAGGGGTCGCTGGTCCAGCGCCAGAGGAAGCCGGCCCTGCGCGCTGCGGTGCGCTCCTCTGCGGAGGGCCTCCGCCACCTGGCGAGGAAGCCAGAGCTGCAGCCGCAGCCTGCAGCGTGCTGCGGCCTTGGCGGGCCGGTGCGGGGCTCCGCTCTGCTGCCCTTAAGGCGTGCTGGCTTCTCCTATATGGGGCTGGGTGATTTTTTTTTTTTTTTTCCTTTTTGGCCTCACTCACGTTGGGGGGAAAAAATATCAATTTATGTGATATAGTACCACATTTGTGCAATTTCTAGTAACTAGCTTGGAGACTAGGTAATTCTTAAAATTCTGAAAGCCAACTGAGGGATTGATAGGAATGCTTGTATTGCTTTCTTACTATATAAAACCAACTGTGCAGTGCTGCAAAAAAAGAAAAAAAAATGCTTAGCCATGAGCTGCTGTTAAGGCAGGTGAAATATTGTCAAGCGTGAGAATTAAAAGAAATGCAGAGAGGTGTTGCTTAGCCCTAATGCCAGATTCATAAGTATGGCAAGCAGTGGATATGGGCTCTTACTTGCATGCTGGTTTCCTGAAACGAATACAGATTGCTGTGATATGTCACTCATTCGTTGGGGCTGAGAAAGGAAGGGACCTTGCTTCCGAATACTGAGCAAAGTGGGACTCTTGAATGTCAGACTGCGGGGTGCATCGCCTGCCAGTCAGGCTTCACAGGACCCTGGCAGTCGAAAGAGCTGTCCGGAAGTACTGCATCATGTGCACATAGCTGAAGGCTTCCCGATACTGCAGCCCACTGCAGTGAGAAACTGTACTCCTATCCGCCATGCACGGGTTCCTAAAGAGAATCCTGAGAGCTTGCAAAGTGTGGCACACCAGCAAAGGAAGAACGCACCACACTGACCGAGCAGGGGCATGGGAGAGTTATTTTAAACTGTATTGGAGTACTCTTCTGCCAACAGTGGGTGGAAATAACTAATGTCAGGTAGGAAGGTCGCCCTGATGTTTCTCCTGAGCACATGGCACAAATATCTTTGAACAGAAACAGGTCTAAGACTGGAAACACAGCAAAGTAATCAGTTTGCCACAAATTCTGCATTTTTAATAACAAAAAGCAAGTAAATAGCAGTTATGGTTCTCTGAGCTATTTATTACTCTAGTGTAATTATTATCATCCTGAGCCCTGCAGCAAGAAACTTACAAGTTTCAGCTGCACACAAGAACATCATTTATCTCCCTTCTCAGGCAAATCTTTAACTAGCATGAAATAGAATTTATAAATACTTCTTTTTACATGCATTTATATCTGTTCTTTGTCTGGGTTATCTTAAGGGTACACACAATAAACAAACCAAGTCCTTGAAAGAATTTAGTCTACGAGTCCATTAATTTCTGATTTGTTGTTAATTTATCATTTCCTTTCCAAATAGTGGCATGTTAATAATTGTTTCTTTCTGTGTGTTTGCATGGCACCCAATGCATCTTGGAGTTCAATATATATTAAATTAGCCCATCTGTCCTTTGGGGAAATTAATTTAGTAGAATTTATGCCTTCTCTTCCTGCTGGGTTTTCATTTAAAAAAAATAATAATTGCTGTTATGTAAAAGCCATAAATTTAAGATTGAAGGTAACGGTGGAAAAAAATGCTCATGACACAAATCTCTCCTGCCAAGAAATGAAAAAGTGCAGTGGGAAAATGTTGTAGTTTGTCGCTTTTTATGACACAGAGTGACCACTGTGATCCAAGGGGCAGAAAGTTCCGGAGAAAGCACAGGATTTGCAGTGGGCTATGTAGACCATCCGTGGCCCTTCTTGTCTTTGGATTTCCCTCACTTTAGAAATAAATGTAAGGGTCCAAAAAGAAAGTAAAACATTAACCTTATTCGGGGTAAAGTCAGATTAAAGGCCATTGCTTAGGTTCAAGACCAAAACGGGACACCTTATCCCAATTTCCCTAACTCAGCGCACCCGATAACGAAGGATCTAACAACAATAAAGCAGGCAAAACCAACCTGTACAAATTCCTGCCTAGAAACCAGAGCCTGAGCCTGACACTCACTGACGTCTTTCTTTTCTGCCCATCACTGATGAGTAGGCTGTGGTACTCAGTCTTGACTGAGCAACAAGATTATCGCTTTGGCCGAAGGGAGAAATGCCAAAGTGATTAACAAAGCACACCCTCTAGATTTGTTTGTGATAACATTTTCAGAGAGGATGGGGGTCGGGGCAGTTCTCAACCTGAATGTAAACAGCGGTGTCCCATAGGCTGGAGGGCCAGATAGCATAAGAGAGAAAGAAAAGCACAGGCATACTAATTCTCCCCTTCCCTCCCTCCCTCCCTCCCTCCCTCCCTTCCCCCTCCCCGCCTCCCCCAGTCTATGTGCATGCCTTCCTGGGTGCCCTAACGTGAGCTGTTCTACCTTAGTACCCATGCTGGACTGAAACCTGTGAAACCACAAGGCCAAGGAAAATCTTTACTCCTTTACTTTACTCCTGTGTCACAGCAATGAAAATCCTACTGATAAGCAGTTCTTTCCTCTGTTTTTCCCATTACTACCTCTACCTCCAAGTTAGGAGTAAATTAAGTTCAAGGGTCCTGGAGAAATTGGTCAGTCAGTTAATTGATTGCCTTGCACGCTGGAGGACCCGTGTCAAACAAAACCAAACCAAACAAAACTGGCATGCCTGCATATTTGTAAACCCAGCATTGCAGAGGTGGGTCCCCGGAGCTCTAACCAGACAGCCTAGCCTATATGTGAAGTTATAAGCAACAAGTGACCCTTTTCCAAAAAAGGAAGGACTGCCACTGTGGTGTAAAACCTCAGGCTGTCCGTGGTTACCCCCCCCCCCACATGTGCTGTTGACCCTACCAAAAGACTAAGTGGTTTTAATAAAGGAGAAATGCCCTGTAATTTGTTTCCCTAGAGTCAATAGGTGTGGCACAATTCCCTAATTAATGCATCAAGAAGTATTATCAGGAGGAAGCAAAATTTCCACCCCAAACTGTGTAGAGAGAGAATAACGGATGATGAGTCAGATTCTGAGCCAGAGTGGAAACGATGAATCTTGAAGGAATAACAGGGGTAAACAGTGCAAAAAGGTCCAAGAAAAAAAAAATAAATGTGGGTAGAGAGGTTCAAACCAAAGGAAGAGTCATCACACAGATTGTAACTGAAATCACAGAAGTGGAAGAAGTGACTAAAGAAGAGAAACTCTAGAATGGGGAATTAGAACTTGGAAGCCGGCTCCTGCTTGTGAGTTGGGAAAGAGCAGAGGAGGGTCCCAGCCTGGTCCATTGCTGGGACAAATGCACAAAGAGGTTAAAGAGAGGAAGCCCTGAGGGGCAGACCTCAGGAGATGCTCCAGAGGACTGAGTCGTCATGGTAGGAGAGGCTAAGAACAAAGACAGGATACAGAGGGAATAAGAGGTCAGAAGGAGGATCCTCAGAGACACTGCACCCAGTCTTTGGAGAAATTTAACTGAAAGAAACAAAAAAAAAAAAAAAAAAAAAAAAGTCCAAGTAAAGCCCGGTAGTCTTCCTTTTGTCTAGGTGGAAATTTCTAGAAACTTGCATGATGGACCATGGGTGTTTTTTGTTTGTTTGTTTGTTCTCTTCCTTTTGCTGTGGTAGAATGTTCTGTCAAAGGGAACTTTGGGGAAATGGGGGTCTATCTCTCCTTCCAGTTCAAAGATACAGTTCATCTTGCCAGGGAAGTCCCCACAGCCAGCACTTAAGGAGGCAGCTTGCCACATGCCACCTGGTCAGAAGCAGAGAATGTTGCATGAGCGCCCCCCACCCCACTTTCCCTCTGGGTCTGAGAGCCAGCCCACCTGCAGTGTACAGCTGAGCCTTAGTGGTTAGGTGCCTCCCAGTCTGCGACTTCCTTCTCACCAGCCCCACCTACTAACATTCAGACTTGAAGAATTGTTTTTAAGGAAAGATATAGGGGTATGTGAGGATAATGATGGGTGAAAATTACCCAAATTATATGTATGAAATTGTCATTATCAAATAAAAATTTAAAAGCGATGGGGACTTACCTTCCACCTTTGGGGGACAATAGCAATCTATTGTGTGTTGGGGAAGTCTCCTGGACAGCCCTCACCAACAGCTCATACTGATGAAGACACCATGCACTTCAGACAAAGGGCTCAGAGGCTCCCTCCAACACCCCCCCTCCAAGCCAGTACTGATTTGAATGTCTCCTCCCTAAGGACTAGCTTTGATGGTACCAGAAGGCACCATGCAAGCTTCCAAAGCAGGGAAGCAGCTCTACCCAGCTATGACACCTGTAAACCACAGCAATGACCAGCAAAGCACCACAACTCTGAAGGTGCTGTAGGGAAACACCTGCCTTAGCAGTAGCCAGCTTAGAAAGGAAATCATACTCAAGTTCTCAAGGGTAGGAAGTCATGGATCGTGGAGAAGTGTTGATGACCACCACTTTACTAAATCAAGCGTAATCCCTAACTACATTCTAAACATTTGTCCTTATGCTCACAGATAAGTGTAGTCCTCACCTCTCATCAACGAAACTTCTCTTTGAAACAGAGA